GCTGCCTTAGGCTCAGGTCGTGATCCCAGGGTCCTGGAATCGAGTCCCACATCCGGCTCCTGGCTCAGCAGAGAGCTTGCTTCTCCCTCCCACTCTGCCTGCTGCTCTCCCTGCTTGTACTCTCCCTCTCTGTTAAATGAATAAATAAAACCTTAAAAAAAAAAAAAGAAAAGAAATAGGAAAGGTAATAGCTGCTGGCATTTACTGGTATATAATAATCTCCTTCCCACATTGCCCTCTACCAACTAGTTCCCCTCCCTCCTATTACTTTCTTGTACATCCTATCAGAGATACTTTATGCCTGATAAGCAAATATATAGATCTATCATAGATAGTTACCTCTCTTTCATTAATAAGTGGTACCTTTACAAACCCTTACAAACATACAAACTGTTCTATACCTTGCTTTAGTCACTTTTCAATATATTAGAGAGTTTACTTTTTCCTCAATAATACATTGAGAGTTTACTTATTCTCTGTAATTGCTTCATAGTATCCCATTTACTGGGTTACTGTTATTTATTTAACCAGTCCCTGTACTAACACTTTTTATAAAAAGTATTTATTTCTTTATTTGAGAGAGAGAGCGCACAGAGGGAGAAGCAGACTCTTTTCTGAGCAGGGAGCCCGATGTGGGGCTTGATCCCAGGATCCTGAGATAATGACCTGAGCTGAAGGCAGCTGCTTAACTGACTGAGTCACCCACACACCCCCATATACTAATTCTTTGTTATTAAATAAAGTGCTGCAGTGAATAATTTTGTTACCTATGTCATTTTGTACTTGTACACAATATCTGTAGGATAGGTTCCTGGAAGTGGAATTGAGGGTCAGTGCATTTGCATTTGTAATTTTGATAGAGATCAGTGTACTAAAATAATCACCTGGGGAACTTTTTCAATGTTCTTATGTTTGTCCCCCTAAATACCTGGGAAGGTTTTTTTGTTTTGTTTTGTTTTTGTTTTTTTCTGTGCATCTGAAATGGAACTCACTATCTTTTTATTTTTTAAGTTCCTAGGGTGATTCTGATGTTTACCCCAGAAGAAGGAGGAGGTGGGAACTTTGTAAAAATGGAATGTGGTACCAAAAAAGCATATCTAATTTTAAAACAGAAGAGCAGCTCTTTCTACTCGTGGGCCCTGTCCCTGTGCTTTAATAAAAACACCTTTTTGCACTGACAGAAGAAAACACAAAAAATAAAAAGAATGTAAGCTAACTATAGGACTCAGAAAGGCAGCATGCTGCTGGTTCATGTGGAAGTTTGCCAGCGGCTGCTTTAATCTGCATATCCAGATTTCTGCTATCTCCAGCATCGTCCCCTCCCATGATATTATGGGACATCTAAGAATTGCAAGATGAACACATTAGTCTTTCAGATGCTCATTAAGAGATGCAGTTGAGGTCATGGTAATCAGAGTTTGGTATGTCACCAAGGGAATGGGTGTGAAATACAGGATTTTGTACAGCCTGTAGAAATTAAGAAGAATGTATAGCATTTAACCTGTTACTGCTCTGAGTCACATAGGAAATATAACTGCTTAGAAGTAACTTAAAACATACCAAAACATCAAAGGCTTATTCTGTTCTAGCTTCTGTGCTAGATGAAGATTAGTAATACAAAAATAAATCATAGTATGGGGCACCTGGGTAGCTAAGGGTCTGCCTTCAGCTCAGGTCATGATCTGAGGTTCTGGGAGGGAGCCCCACATCGGGGTCCCTGCTCAGAGGGAGCCTGCTTCTCCCTCTCCCTCTGCCTGTCGCTCCCCCTGATTGTACTCTCTCCCTGTCAAATAAATAAATAAAATCTTAAAAAAAAAAAAAGAAAGAAATCATGGTAGTAATAGCTACCAACTCTTCCTGGGCGCTGAGTATGTATCAGATATTATGTTGAAAGTTTTACAAGTATTTTCTCATTGAATCCTAATCCTAGGCGCTGTGGGGACTATTACCTTCCCATTTAACAATTGAGGAAAATGACTTTCATAGATGTTAAATAAGTAATTTGCCAAAGATTACACGTGTATCTACTTCATAGGATTGTTTGAAGGTTAACAAATAGTACTTTGACCAGTGCCTGCTACATTATAAATGCTCAACAATATTAGTTGCTACTATAATTATTACTAAAGTACAGAGGAAATACCAATAGTCCTTTGCCTAGGGCATACCGCACAGAAGAAAAATATAAGTACGGTTTTTCTTGGGAAAGACAGATATTCCAGGTAGAAGAGACAGTAGTAAAAGGGATTAATGGCCTGATTCGGCTACTACATAGGGTGCTTGGTGGTACAATGGTAGTAGAGGATGAGAAATGAAAGAAGGCTTCATGGGAGGGTGGAGCAGAGAGCTATGGAGCTATTTTGAAAGGATGAGCTTAACTCATTTTGGGAGACAGGGTTCAGAACATTTCAGGCAAAGATACAACACTTAAAATGGCATAGAAGCAGTATTGCAGTTATCTACTGCTGTACAGTAAACTGCCCCAAAATTAAGTGGCTTAAACAATTACTAGTTTGGGGCGCCTGGGTGGCTCAGTGGGTTAAGCCTCTGCCTTCACCTCAGGTCGTGATCCCAGGGTCCTGGGATCGAGGCCCGCATCCGGCTCTGTGCTCAGCAGGGAGCCTGCTTCCTCCTCTCGCTCTCTCTGCCTGCCTCTCTGACTACTTGTGATCTCTCTCTGTCAAATAAATAAATAAAATCTTAAAAAAAAAATTACTAGTTTATTTACCCACAGTTCTTTTTTTTGTTTTTAAGATTTTATTTATTTATTTGAGAGGGAGAGAATGAGAGAGAGAGAGAGAACACAAGAGGGGGAAAGTCAGAGGGAGAAGCAGACTCCCTGTGAGTAGGCAGCCTGATCAGGAGTCTTGCGAGCGGGACTCGATCCCAGGACTCCAGGATCATGACCTGATCGAAGGCAGTTGCTTAACCAACTGAGCCACTCAGGTGCCCTACCCACAGTTCTTGAGTCACATATTTGGGCTAGGCCTAGCTAGGTAATTCTGGTCTCACTGGGGGTCACTCATGTGGCTGCAATCATTTGGTGGTGCCACTGGGGCTAAGTATTCTAAGATGGCTCCTGTCACATGGCTGGCTTTGATGATGGCTGTTGGCTGGGCTTCCTCACATGGCAGCAAACAAATTGCAAGACGACAGCAGAAACTTCAAGGGTTCTTGAGGCCTAGGCATGGAAGTCACACAGTGTGGCTCCACCACATTCTGTCAGGCAAAACAGTCACAAAATCAGCCTAGATGCAATGAGAGGAAAAAGACACTGCCTCTTGATGTGAAAGGACATGCGAAGAATTTGTGGCAAATATTCCATGAATGGGAAAGGGCAGAATGAGTTTAGGATGTGTAGCATCTTTGGCCTCTCCCTTGCCCTAAGTAGCATTTCCTCCAAAGTTAATTATACAAATTACTTTAATCACCTTTATTATCTGGCCCTGAACTCTGTTTCACCTAGAAAGAAGACAAAGTATAAATTAAAATGGAAAACAGAAAAACTTTACCAAGAATTAATTAACTGAATTTTGAAAACTGAATTATAAAACAGTTTTTAGAAAGAAAATTTAGTGTTTAATATTTTCATGAACTTGAACTTAATTAACAGTGGTGTGGAGAATTCCTCAGGGTCCTGATTTTAGTAATGCACCAGGATTGTGTGTTATTAACACATCATTTATTAGTATTTGATTAAATACCTTGGTGTTAAAAATTTTTTAAGCAGTTCAATATTCAACCATATAAAATCTTTTTTTTCAAGATTTTGTTTTAGAGGGATGCCTGGGTGGCTCAATGGGTTAAAGCCTCTGCCTTCGGCTCAGGTCATGATCCCAGAGTCCTGGGATAGAGCCCCACATTGGGCTCTCTGCTCAGCGGGGAGCCTGCTTCGTCCTCTCTCTCTCTGCCTGCTTGTGATCTCTTGTCTGTCAAATAAATAAAATCTTAAAAAAAAAAAAAAGATTTTGTTTTAGAGGAGAATGCAAGTGGGGGAGGGAAGAAGGGGGAGAGAGAAAGAATCTCAAGTAAATGCCCCACTGAGTGTAGAGCCCAGTGTGGGGCTCACAGCCCCGGGAGCATGAGCTGAGCCACAATCGAGAGTTGGGCACTTAACTGATTGAGACACTCAGACACCTCTAAGATCTTTTTTTCTTTCTTTAAGAGTATTTATTTATTTATTTATTTTTCAGTAGTCTCTACACCCAGTGTTGGGCTCGAGCTCGTGACTCTGAGATCAAGAGTCATATACTCTTCTGACTGAGCCAGTCAAGTGCTCCAGCAACCATATAAAATTTTGACCACAGTATTACTTTCCTAGGTTATTTATTTATCCTAGGTAAATTATTTTATTCATATTCTGTACAAGTTAACATCTACAACCACCTACCTTCACCTACCTTTTAGAATAACCTGAGATCCTGAATTAATGGTGTTTTTACCTCTTTATGCATTATCAGCACTCAGCAGATACAAATGTGATTTCCTGAGTTATATCAGTTCTGTGGTTTGCTATTTAATTCTGCTTTCCATTCTGAAAGAGTGCTTAGCCTTTGTTCATTAATCATAGGAAACAGTTGTGCAACATGCCTTGACATTAACTTGAACATCTAAAATTAGACCTGCTACAATCAGTGGTTGGGAACAAGGTTTCAGTAGTTGGTGGCATGTGTTAAGTAGACATTGCAAGGTTGGAAGGAACTCCCTAGAAATAAGTAAGTCTCTTGCATTGTGTGTCTGTGTGCATGTACCTGAATATATATGCAATTGAAATTCCATTTGTATTAAGCAGATGAACAAATTACATCTGTTACTACAAATGCATCATAAGCATCTTTGCTTATGCACTACGCTGTTTAATTATTTCAGAAGAAAAATATATTTGAAAACTTGGTATGCTAGAATGGATTTTTCTGCATGTTTGTTTTGTGATTTTCATTTTTTAAAGGATTAATTATCTATACTATATTTCAAATAAATGGCTTTTTTTTCCTTTTCAGAATTTATAAAAACTCATTCACAAAAATGACGTCCTGGTTGTATGAATGTCTTTGTGAAGCTGAACTTGCACAGTATTATCCTCATTTTACTGCCCTTGGCCTTCAAAAAATAGATGAATTAGCCAAGGTTACAATGAAGGACTACTCCAAATTGGGAGTCCATGACATGAATGACCGCAAACGTCTCTTCCAACTTATCAAAATCATTAAAATAATGCAGGAAGAAGATAAAGCAGTCAATAGCCCCGAGCATCCTCTTCAGACAGACAGCTTGTGTAGTAAGCCTCAGGAATCCAGATCTGGCCCTCGCAGACAACTGCATTTTGATTCTCCTGCTGACAACAAAGACAGAACTACCAGCAACGGTGGGTTTGAAAGGCACAGTTTATCAGATTTTTCTGCAAATGAACAGAAGTCTAGTTACCTAAAAGTGCTGGAGCACATGCTGCCAGATGATTCCCACTACCATACAAAAACAAGAATTCTGAGTGCTGCAGCTGCTGGTTCCTATGTGCAAACAGAAACTAACACTTCACTCTTCTCATCAAATCACTTTTCTCCACTCCTGGGGGATTATGATGGTCCCATTATTCAAAGAGTCTCTCATGTTTCAGGGTATAACTATGGAATCCCTCATTCTTGTATCAGGTAATTATTTTTATCTTTTTTGGGAGGGTGTGCGGGAGAGGGTAGCATCAGTCAAGGGCAAGCCTCTCCATGACTGAGAGCAGCTACTCCTTATTTACAGAAAATTAGAGTGAACAGTTTCTGCAACAAATAGAAGTACCTTGATGGGGGAAGGTTCGTGAGGAATTGGGACTTTCCAGATGGGAGAAAGATGATATTGTTCATGTATGTCAAACAGCTGCTACTTGCCAGGATCTGCTATTATTCTGCTAGCAGAACTATTTCTATTATTTATTATAGTGTAACATGATACATCTAATGCATCCTTGAAGGTAAAATAGTTAACTAGCCTTCTGCAATGGGGAAAATGTGTGTGTGTGTGTGTGTGTGTGTGTGTGTGTGTGTGTTCCACAGGATTTTTTTAAGGCTATCAAATTCACTTCAGCCAACCAGGAGACATAAAGCTTAGTTAAAAACAAAGAGCACGCAGCTGAATTGAGTAGGTCTTTCATGCAATTAGCTTACCTGCACACACTGAAATACAGTCCTGATTTTGAGTGCTTTCTTCAATTCCAGTCCTGCAAGAACATATGATTTTGGTGATTGCAAAAGAGTAAGACACTTTTGATATAGTTTAGACTTGGAGAGTCAGGGTGACAATAAGTTATTTTCACCAGTGCTTTAAGTTAAATGTTGAAATAAGGTCCCTAAGAGCTGAAATATTGAATAATCCCTAATACCAGCACTGGTATAATAGAAAACATGTTCTTTTAAAAATAGCATATATTTGTTGTTTTGTTATTTTAAAAGTTATACATGGTGAGTTATGGAGAAACAAAATACATTTTTTTAAAGATTTTATTTATTTGACAGAGGAGACACAGCAAGAGAGGGAACACAAGCAGGGGGAGTGGGAGCAGGAGAAGCAGGCTTCCTGGTGAGCAAGGAGTCCTACGCAGGGCTCAATCCCAGGACCCAGGACCACGACCCAAGCTGAAGGCAGATGCTTAACTACTGAGCCACCCAGGTGCCCTGAAACAAAATACATTTTTTTTTTTAAAGATTTTACTTACTTACTTGACAGACAGAGATCACAAGTAGGCAGAGAGGCAGGCAGAGAGAGAGGAAGGGAAGCAGGTTCCCTGCTGAGAAGAGAGCCAGATGCAGGGCTCTGTCCCAGTACCCAAGGATCATGACCTGAGTCAAAGGCAGAGGTTTTAACCCACTGAGCCACTCAGGTGCCCCAACAAAGTACATTCTTAAGCCACAGTTTTTTTTTAAGGCTATTATTCATACTTTAAAACAAGGTGTATATTTATATCTGGCCTTATATTGGCTAAGGTTTCAGATTTCAAAACCAACCAGTTCTTTTATTCCCCCCCAAAAATAAAAGACCCAATTTTACAGGCAAAAGTACTTTTAGTAATTTGAAATACTTAGTGCATTTTATAGTATTTCTGAAACCTTTATTTCGTTTGCAGAGCACAAAGCATATAGGTCCTCCTTTCTTCTTTTAATCGTTAGAGAACTAGATTTTTCCATGACTATCAAAGCCAGGATTGTTGCTGTCCATTGGTTAGCTCTGCTAAAAGAACAAATATTTTCTTGAATATTAGTCTTTTAATGAACAATACAAAAATCTAAATTGGAATTATTTATAAATATATACCACTTTGTACTATTTATTTGGACAGAGTGAATATTTTAGTTGAAATATTGCTACCTCATTTATTTGGCACATATTAAGTACTACCTCTTCTAGGTCTGATTCTGGATGTAAAGATAATTAGGATATGTGGAGGCTCTTAGAATCTTAGGGGGAGTGAGTGGGAAGACAAACAACCATATGGGGAGATAAGTTCTAAGAGGTTTATAGATGACAAACCCAGAGTGAAAGCTGTTTCACTGAGCTTTCTCATTATGTCATTATATTATCACTCTTCCCACTCTTTATTATAGTAAGGAAATAGAGATTTAAAAAGGACATTTCCCCCAATAACCCTCATATTATCTTCTCACCTAAATGTTTCTAAGTAGCTGTCAGGATTTCAGAACCCTGAGAAACTCCCTCACCAACTTAAGTCTTGCTCTTAGGATGTCATCTTGTCCAAAGCGCATTCTCTTTGGATGCCTCAAATCAAGTAAGGTCAAAATAAATTACTGGTCTCAGAATTTTTTTTAAAGATTTAATTTAATTTATTTATTTGATAGAGAATGAGAGAACAAAAGCAGGGGGAGTGGCAGAAGGAGAGGGAGAAGCAGGCTCCCTGCTGAGCAGGGAGCCCGTGTGTCGTGTGTCCTGTGTCCTGGCGCTTGATCCCAGGACCCTGAGATCATGACCTGAGCCTAGGGCACATCCACAACAGACTGAACCACCCAGGCACCCCTGGTCTCAGAATTTTAATAAATGCCTAATACATTTAGAGATCTTAAATAGGCCTAACTCCTGTCTTACCTCTTCATGTCAGAAAGATACAGCTTATTTCTTCTAAGGAATACTGGTTATTAATACCGTAGCCTTCTAGGAGTGGCTCAGTCAGTTAAGTATCTGACTTGGGCTCAGGTCGTGATCTCAGGGTCCTAGGATTGAGCCCCATGTCTGGCTCCCCACTCAGCAGGGAGTCTGCTTGTCCCTCTGCCCACCCCCACTCGTTCATTCTCGCCCTCTCTCATAAATAAATGAATAAAATCTTAAAAACAACCAAAAATACCAGAGCCTTTTAGCAGAAGAACATTCATTCTCTTTTTGCCCCTTGACCTGGAAAACTACAGTCCTTTTGACCATATGACCCATCCTCAAGTCCCTAGTCACTTTTGAAAAAACTTTTTTCTGTCATCTTTGATTAGCTTTATATGATTAGGTTATTAATACTCCCCAATAACTAGACATTTAGACACAGGCCCTTGTTAAAAGAATGCATTAAAATTTCTTCTTATTTTAAAAAATCGAACAGATGCAGAAGAAGGGATAATAAAACAATGAATCCTCTATATGCCCCTCATCCACTTTTAATGATTGTCAGGATTTTGCCACACTTAATCTCAAAATGGTACATTTCTAAAAGTCTACTGTATGTTGGTTAAAAAACAAAACAAAACATGGTGGGGCACCTGGTGGCTCAGTCAGTTAAGTGTCCACCTTTTGATCAGGGTTGTAAGATTAAGTCCTATGTTCGGTTCAGCACTGGACGTGGAGCCTGCTTAAGATTTCTCTCTCTCCTTCTCCCCCTGCCCCTCTTAAAAAAAAAGAACATGCTTTAAAAGCCTGAAGTAGTCCTTTATGGTCTATATTAGTACTATTTGTTCTATATATAGAACTATATTAGAATTGTGTTTGCTCCTTTTTACTGATTTAAATCCTGGCAAAAAGTAATTTTCTGGCCAGTTGGAGGGCTCAAAATTAAAATTGATATGAAGCAATTATATAGTGAAATATCCTGTGTAAAATCTATTACAGAGGCTTTTTAGGGGCTATTAATCAAATTCTAAAGTTTAAAGGAAGGGAATAATTTGTCTTGCCTAAGACATTCTTTGTATATGGATCAAAGGCATTGATCCTGGTAAACTATTTTCAAGAATCCTATGTTACTCAGGTTAAGCGGAATTTTAATATAGGTAAATGGTCAGAGATATGCATATATATCCTCTTTAGGTTCAGTAAATAAACCTGATAAATTTTGTATCCCTACCTCAAGGAATATTTCATTAAATATTCTAGCTGTTAAAGGTTGATAAGTTCAGGGAGCCTGGGTGGCTCAGTGGGTTAAGTCTCTGCCTTCGGCTCTGGTCATGATCTCAGGGTCCTGGGATCAAGTACCACATCAGGTTCTCTGCTGAGCAGGGAGCCTGCTTCCCCTTCTCTCTCTGCCTGTCTCTCTGCCTACTTGTGATCTCTCTCTCTCTGTCAAATAAAGAAATAAAATCTTAAAGAAAAAAAAAAAAAAAAGGTTGATAAGTTCGCTGAAGTCAGAGCCAGAGAAGAAATTCATCTGAGTAGAAGGGTGATAGTGGTGGGCAGCACCAGTCATAAAGTTGTCCTGGGAAGAAGAAATACAGGATTGTGTTCTAACAAACATATCAGGTAGACAAAAAGGAAGTAAAAAAGCAAGACAAAGGGAGGGGCAGAATATACTTGGGAGGAACAAAGGAAAAGTACATTGAAACCTACTACCTAATTTAATTCAGGTATTTAGTAAACCCAGGTAGGATAAAAAAAGAAATTTTAGAGTGAACGGTCAAGAAAACAGTAAATGGGGGGGCGGGGCGCCTGGGTGGCTCAGTGGGTTAAAGCCTCTGTCTTCGGCTCAGGTCATGATTCCAGGGTCCTGGGATCGAGCCCCGCATTGGGCTCTCTGCTCAGCGGGGAGCCTGCTTCCTCCTCTCTCTCTGTCTGCTGCTCTGCCTACTTGTGATCTTTGTCAAACAAATAAAATCTTAAAAAAAAAAAATACAGTAAATGGGGGTGCCTGGGTGGCTCAGTCATTTTAACGTTTGCCTTCAGCTCACGTCATGATCCCAGGGTCCTGGATCAAGACCCGCATCGGCCTCCCGGCTCAGTGGGGTGTCTGTTTCTCCCTCTCCTTCCTGCTCATGCTTTCTCTCTCTCTAATAAATAAATAAATAGATAGAATCTTTTTTAAAAAAGAAAGTAGTAAATGTGTAAGAATAATTGGATTGAGAGGAGGGGTGGTCACGACATACTGTGTCTGATTTTGAGGATTAACCAGCCTGATTTGAGGGGACATATAGAAAAATATCCACCATTAGAAATTTTTGCAAGACCACATCTGGAAGCCAAACACAAAAACCTTAGAGCTAGAGCAACTCTTAGAGTTTGGGTTTTTTTTTCCTTTGTTGTTGGCAGGACAAAGGATGGACTGATTAGGGGTAGAGACAGAAGTAATCGGGAGGATTTAGTTAATAAAAATTCTCTATGTAGCTAATATGTATAAAGTTACATATTAAAGTATTGATACTGAGAAAGTTTTGGCAGGACAAAGGATGGACTGATTAGGGATAGAGACAGAAGTAATCAGGAGGATTTAGTTAATAAAAATTCTCTATGTAGCTAATATGTATAAAGCTACATATTTAAGTGTTGATACTGAGGAAGTTTTTTACATAATATGTGTAACGTGTATATATGTTAAGTGTAATGTATATATAAAATTACAAAATGTGATACTTTGACTTCTTAAGTAGCCTTATCCTATTATTAAAAATTAAAGCCCACTTATAAATATGTATCAGACAGAACACCTCAGAGAAAGAGAATCCTTGGACTGAGATGGAGAAAATCAGAGTTTGTGTTCGAAAACGCCCTCTGGGCATGAGGGAGGTACGTCGTGGAGAAATTAATATTATTACCGTAGAAGACAAAGAAACTCTACTTGTTCATGAGAAGAAAGAAGCAGTTGACCTTACACAATATATTCTGCAGGTATAATGCTTTCCTTTGTGTTTGGAACTAATATTATCAAGTGTGTCAACTTTTTGCTTTTATTTGAATGGCAGCATACAAATTCTAAAATCCAGTTTCTGCTTTGGGTATTGGCATTCATTCCTGATATAAATCATTAATACCCTGGGCCTTCATATTAAAAAAAAAAAACAGTGCAGTGGGGGAAACAATAACGTAATTTCTGCACTCTAGGACAATAGAATTGCATCATACATTCGCTTGCTTAATACATTTTACATGGATGAAATTATACCTCTTGGCAAAAGTGGGGACTGAAAGGATAAAAAGAATGTAGTGAATTGGCGGTAGGTAGGACGAGTCACTGAGTGTATGCCCTGGAAGGATTATGAAGTAATCCCACAGTCAGTCTCAATTCTTGCCTGTCACAGTGTGAACTTTTTCTTCTGCGTGTATGTCTGGAGTTAATGATGGAGGATATGTTTTCAAGCAACAAAGTTCCAGATTGCCACTCAACTGCTTATTTTGACTCAGCTTTCTTTGGGCTTAGATATAACTTGATGGAAATTTAGCTCTTGAACAGGCTACTTTGTATAGGGTAGACTATAGTGCATAAGTATAATTCAGGGATATGATTTCACTTTTACATCTAACATGTAAGAATTTAAATAAAATACTAGTAACTTAGACATATAAGAAAATGTTAATTCCCTGCCAGAAAGATCCAAAGTCTCCTAGGAGAAAGAGTTTGGTAATGAAAGGAACTTATTTCAAGCAAAAAGATATCCTTGCAATAACTCTTCAGAATCCTATGGAAGAAGCAGGCCCATAGATGGAAGCTACCATAATTTAGGTACTCTTATAATTATGAAGCAATTGTAAATAATCTAAAACAGAGGATAACCCACCAGATGTTAAGATTTGGGAATTCAGGTCTTAATCTGAATCTGCCTCCCTAAACATATTATATTCGTACATACTATTCTCTCTCTGTTCTCTTGCCTCAAAACCCAGTGACTGGTAAGAGAGAAAAAAAGTGGTGAGTAATGCGTTGTGCTAGCATTTCACCTTAGTTAGCTGAGATTTTAATCTCCTGGAATAAATATGTTAACATTGAAGTCAAATTGTTAGCGCTTTCCTCCTCTTTTTTACACATGCATTGTTCAACTTTTTCTTGGTTATCAAAATTGGGTTTCACAGCAACATTCAAAGTAATCCACTGAGTCTTTCTGTGAGCACTAAATTACTAGGTCACTGTATAAACAACCCAATCACTTTAACAGCCTTATTGACTGCTGATCAATGCACAGTCTATTAGGTCTAGGTGGGAGGTATTTATTTTGAAGATGGTCTAAATGCCAATTAGTTATGATGTTATCTAGTTCCATGTCTACTTATAACCATAGTAATAGCCCTGTCCAGTCACCATCTATCCAAGAAGTCCTTAATGATCCTTCTGTCACAGTAATTCCCTCAAGGAAGCATTGTCTTATCTTTTGTATTTTTCCATTATCCCAAAACATAATAACCTTACTTCTTTGTCATTCCCATTGGTCAATACATATTGAACACCCATAGTTTTCATAGCACTCTCTCTGCAGTTTGAACTTTGGACCTTTGCTCTCATAGGTCAGAGTCCTTACCTATCAATGCCATAATACAAGTGCCAAGAGGACTTTTACCCCCTTTTCTTAAGTAGAAAGAAAAAGGAGGTTCATAGCAAACCTAGAAAATAAATATTGGTCCTAGATTCTTTGGGCTTTAATTTTTAAACTTATTCAAGAATTAAAACTCTAGGTTTATATATCCATTTAATTAAATATCCTATCCTTTCAGATCTTCTTTTGTTACTTAGTGTGTATATGATCATATACATGCAGTGTGCTTTCCTACTTACCATTAAATTTTGTGTCAATATGTGAAAAGACAAGGAAACAAATTTGTGCATATTTCATTCCAGCTGTTTTTGTTGTTGTTGTTAAAGATTTTATTTATTTATTTGACAGAGAGACACAGTGAGAGAGGGAACACAAGCAGGGGGAGTGGGAGAGGAAGAAGCAGGCTTCCCACTGAGCAGTCACCCCAATTCAGGGCTCGATCCCAGGACCCCGGAATCATGATCTGAGCTGAAGGCAACTGCTTAACAACTGAGCCACCCAGGGGCTCTCATTCCAGCTTCTTAAATAAAGAAATAGAGAGGGGCTAGTAATACATTATATGTAAATTTAAAATTTTTTAAAAAAGAAATATATATAGAAAAAAGATAGTACTAAAATATATCAAAAAGTCAATAGTGGCTATCTCTGGGTAGTAAGATTTATAAATAATTTTATTTTCTTCTCTGTTGTTTTCCATGTTTTTAAATTTTTCTGTAATCAGCATGTTACTTTTATATAAAAAGTAAAAACTGGGGCACCTGGGTGGCTCAGTGGGTTAAAGCCTCGGCCTTTGGCTCAGGTCGTTATCCCAGTGTTCTGGGATCGAGCCCCGCATCAGGCTCTCTGCTCGGAGGGGAACCTGCTTCCTCTTCTCTCTCTCTTTCTCTCTCTCTCTGCCTGCCTCTCTGCCTATTTGTGATCTCTGTCAAATAAATAAAATCTTTTAAAAAAATGTTAAAACTTTTGGATAAGATGGATTCACCTATTTTAAAATCAAAACATACAAAAACATACAAATGCAGAGGGGTGCCTGGGTGGCTCAGTAGGTTAAGCATCCGCCTTTGGCTCAGGTCATGAACCCAGAGCCCCATATCCCAGAGCCAATATGGGGCTCCCTGCTCAGCCTCAGCAGGGAGCCTGCTTCTCCCTCTCCCTCTGTCTGTGCCATTCCCCCTGCTTGTACTCTCTCTCTCTCTGTCAAATAAATAAAATCTTTAAAAAAAATTTTTTTTTAAAGTGTATTCAGTGAAGTGTCCTGCTAATTGTATTTCCTCCTTGAAGGCAACCACTATTATCTGTCCTAAGTCTATCTTTCCAGAGCTATTCTATATATACAGATTACTTTTATAATCTGAAAAAACTTATTTAAAAAATAAATTGTGAAACTCTGATCATTACAAGGCTAAAGTGTATTAATACAACCTAATTGATAAAATACGATCAAATGAAATATATGCAATGCAAAGGACTTTATGGAATGTGTGTGTGTGTGTATATATATATATATATGTATAATATTGAGATGATATCTTGTGCTAGCATTTATTATATTTATGTAATATATGTTAATTATAATCTTGCATGTTCACATATCTTTTATTAAAGATATTTACAGAAGTATTGGGAAAATCAGTACATAAATCTATTGGAAGGAAAGACACTAATGTCTTTAATCAGTAAGGGTTCTAAGGTTTTTACTCAAGAGGTAAAGTTATTCTTAAGTACTCATAGAAAAAGAGAAAGAATAGCCATATACTCAATGAAGTAAAAGAAAATTTTTTTAAATTTAATGAATTCCCACATTTACTTGTGTTCATCTTTTTCTTATTTTCCTGAGAAATGCCAAAAAATATATTTAAAAATATATTTTACTTTTAATTATTGCCATTTTCAAGTTTATTCAAAAGTACAATGAACCCCTATGTACCTACGACCCAGATTCAACAGTTAAAAACATTTTATTCTTAAAATCCTATCACATATTTCATACCCCTAAAAGCTCACAGTCTGTTTATTGTGCTGCACATTTGATTATTTTCTAGCTTTTGGTGATATTTTCTAACTCATAAATTGAACTTTGTGGTCCCAGTTTCTGCTAAGGTGACCTAACAAATTTCTAATGTAATGATACACAAAATAGAATCAAACCTGGGTAGAATGACCCATGCAATAAATTGGCCTAAAATCACTTTGCTGGATTTTCTCTTAACTGGGTATTTAGAGCAGGCCCAAAAGGTAGCAGAAAAGATCTCATGTCTCGTTCATTGTATATGGACTGCATTTTTATGCTACGGTCAGGCTTGAAATTAGGATTTTTACTCAGAGATAGTTGGCTGCCACTAGCCTCTAAGTTATGCAAATGATTATGTCTGCTGAATTAATGCTTTCCAGACCCAGTTTAATAGGGTCTTCTATCTTTTTCCAGGTTATCATGATTTTTCATTTGGGGATCACCTTGGACTACTTTCTCTCCCCATTGAATCATATTCAGGCAGTTGCCAAATTTTTCATGCCTCCATCTCCTCTATATTTTCATTGTCATCATGGAATTTAGACCCTTCTTAATTTACCAGTGGATTACCAGTGTCCCTTTTCTTAGTCCATTCACATTGTGAAGCCAGATTAATCTTCCAGGAAAATGGCTCAGATCATCCTTTTCCTTTGCAAAGTTTTTTTATTGTCTTCCCACTATTTGCTAAATTAAATATGAACATTCCATCCTTAAGGCTAGTGTCCCAATACCCATGCAGCATAGTCCTAACTCATTATTCTAGCCTTCTGTTTCACCTTTCTACCTACCAAGATCCTATGTTTCAACCACGCTCAATCTTCTCTGTTCCCTAAATGTTCCTTATGCTTCCCTGATTTGACTGTTGCTCACGTTTTCCTTGTGGCTGGAGTATCTTCCCTGCCTCCATCTCTAACTCTTAAATTCCTCGTTTTTCCCCACGGCCCTTTCTATGTGCAGTCTTTTTCATAATGTCTTTTCCAATCAGAAGGAATATGTTTTTCCCTTGAATTCCACATGTACTTTATTGCTCAATTTTCTTCTAGCTTAGAATCATTTGTATACTTGTCTGGATTCATATCTTTAGGTGGTGGTGTGGGGTAGTATTATCTTTGGGCCCTTTGAAGTGCCTCCTGCAGTTATACACATTACCAACTGAGCAATAAATGTTCATGGAATTAAAAGCTCAGCTATGGGGGCGCATGGGTGGTTCAGTTGGTTTTAGTAAGCATTTGTGTTCGGCTCAGGTCATGATTTCCAGGTTCCTGGGATTGAGCCCCGTGTTGGGCTCCCAGCTCAGTGGGGAGTCTGCTTCCTCCTCTACCCTCTACCCCCTCCACCTCATGCTCTCTCTGTCTGTCAAATAAATAAAATCTCTTAAAAAGGAAAGAAAAGCTCAGCTATGTAACCTATGAAATGGAAGTCTTCCCCTGGAATTCCCCCAAATTTCAAATATGCTGGCCCTAGCTGGGCTATGAGGATAGTCTCTACAGAATTCATTTCTCCTGGACCTAAGGAGGATTGGCACTCTCGTACTTATCAGTTTACAAAACAAAAATTGTGTGCTTTAGTTTTTATATTGTAAGAACATGTCTACAGAGATCCTCAAGTAGAAGGCGGCCCTGTCATTTGACAGTTATTGCTTATTTATCTCTTAAGTTTGTCCTAGTCAGTTACTTAATTAGTTAAAAAACATACTTGCACCTTTATTATGTATTAACTAGAATAGTGGTGAAGAAAATCCAGAAAATATCTCTTTCTATAAAAATCACATTTCTTTTTCAGCATGTTTTTTATTTTGATGAAGTCTTTGGTGAAGCATGCACCAATCGGGATGTATACATGAAGACTACTCACCCACTCATTCAGCATATTTTCAATGGGTATGATAGTCATTATTTGCTTCTCTTGCTTCATACTGTTTTCCATAACAAATTTCTCTATAAGTATCATTTATGTTTTTCAGTTTTTGAATTAGACATGAATTTGTGTTTTAATCTGATGAATTTAGACTCTTCTAAGGAGTGCATCATCTCTATAGGATTTACTGAGCATTCAGGAATTTTCAGCAAAAATATAAGTTGTCAGCAATATAATTTCATCAAAGCCCTCAGAATAAAAAGATGTAAGTGGTTTAGTTTGAACTTTTGATAATAGGAATCATGCATTCTGCCTATAGTTCAGTTGCTTTTTTCATTGGCGTGGGATAGGTAAGTGACTATCATCTGGTTTTTTTACACATGTATTTTTTAAATTTTGAAATAATTTTTCACACTTAATAAACATAAAATGGGACCAAGAAGGTAATAGGGACTTCTGCTGTTTATTCAAAATATAGGCAGATATAGATAGAAAATGCCAAACAGCGTACTAGTATCACTGATTCCAGAGTAGTTTGACTTTTTAAAAATAATTTTTATAACTTTAAAAATATTGTATAATTCACATAAAATTAGATGCACAGATCTTAAGAAGTATTCAGTTTTGATGAGTTTTGATAGTTGTATATATTCAAGTAATCAATACCTCGAACAAGATAATAGACCATTCCCGTCATCCCAGAGAGTTCTCTCTCGTCCCTTTTTAGTAAGCCTCCACTTCCACCCTCAGGTCTTATAGAATCACTGACCTGCTTTCCATCACTATAGATTAGTTTTGCCTGTTCTAGAACATTACAGAAATAGAATCATTCCTGTATAGGTTCTTTTATGCTTGGCTTATCATAATGTTTTTTGATATTAGTATGTGTTGCATGTATCCATAGTTTTTATTGCTGAGTAATACTCCCTTCTATAAATATACCACAATTTATCTAATTTCCTGTTGATGGACATTTGAGTTATTTCCAGTTTGGGATTATTGTGAATAAAGCTGTATGAACATTCTTGTACAAGTCTTTTTCTTGGACATGTTTTCATTTATCTTTTTTTTTTTTTTTAAGATTTTATTTATTTGTCAGAGAGAGAGGGAGAGAGATCGAGCACAGGCAGACAGAATGGCAGGCAGAGGCAGAGGGAGAAGCAGGCTCCCTGCCGAGCAAGGAGCCTGATGCGGGACTCGATCCCAGGACGCTGGGATCATGACCTGAGCCGAAGGCAGCTGCTTAACCAACTGAGCCACCCAGGCATCCCTTGTTTTCATTTATCTTGAGTGAAACCTGGAAAGGGAATCTCTGGGGTCATAGGATAGGTGTGTGTTTATAAGAAAGTGTAAAACAGTTTTCCATACACCCATCTTCTATTCCCAACAGCAATTTATGTGAATTGCATTTCTTTCTCTCTCTCTCTCTCTTTTTTTTTTTTTTTTTTTTTTTTTTAGATTTATTTATTTATTTGAGAGAGAGAGCATGGACAAGAGTGTGGCAGGCAGGGGCAGCCTGTGAGTGGCATTTCTACATCCTCACCATATTTGGTGTTGTCATTCTTCTTTATTTTAGTCAGTCTAGTGAGAATGTAACTTGATCGAATTGTGGTTTGAATTTGAATTTCCCAAATGCCTAACGATATTGAGAATCTTTTCATATGCTCATTGGCTATTCAGATAACCATTTGACTAATTTTTTTGTTTCCTTTTTATTGTTGTTTTGTAGGCATCACTAAAATTCTCTTTTATTCTGAGCAAATGAAATACCTTTCAGGTTTAATTTCTTTTGTGCCAAATCTAGGGAGTACTTTTTAAGAGAGCAAGTTTCTTAAGTTAGAATTTGAATGTTAAAACAGTACCAATTAAAAAATAAAAGGTGGGGGCGCCTGGGTGGCTCAGTGGGTTAAAGCCTCTCCCTTCAGCTCAGTTCATGATCCCAGGGTCCTGGGATCGAGCCCTGCATCGGGTTCTTTGCTCAGCAGGGAGCCTGCTACCCTCTCTCTCTCTCTCTCCCTGCCTCTCTGCCTACTTGTGATCTCTGTCAGATGAAAAAATAAAATATTTTAAAAAATAAAGTAAAATAAAACGTGCAGGGGGCCTGGGTAGTTTAGTCACTTGAGCTTCAGATTCTTGATTTTGCCTCAAGTCATGTCTCAGGGTGGTGAGATTGAGCTCCCCATGGGAGTCTGCTTGAGATTCTCTTTCTCTCCCTTCCCCTCTGCTTTCCGCCTCCCCCTCCCCACCCCGCTTATGCTCACATGCCTGTGTGCTCGCTTTCTCTCTCTCAAATAAATAGATCTTAAAAAAAGAGGTACAAGTTAAATGCATCCATTGTACAAAGGACAATAAGAGATTTTTCATACCCATATTTGTTGTTTTTCAAAAAGCTCATCACTAAAATGTTCAGAAGATGGGGGACCTGGGTCGGCTCAGTTGGTTAAACTTCTGACTCTTGATTTCTGCTCAGGTTACGATATCTCAGTTGTGAGATCAAGTCCCGTGTTGGGCTCTGCACTGGGTGTGGAGCCTTTTTGGGATTCTCATTTTCCCTCTCCCCCTACCCCACTCGCATTTTCTTTTGTCTTTCTCTCTCTGTCAAAAAAAAAAAAAAGGTTCAGAAGATAAGGTTGATATTATTCTTTGGTCTCATTCTGCTACATCTTTAGTATGTTCACATTTCCCTCCTTTAATCTTTTTACTCACTGTGCCTCTTCCCGTGTGTTCAAGTGCCTACAAAGCCAGGAGCCTAGATTCAAAAGACTACAAGTAACTGGTCTCTGCTTAAGCAGCTTAGATCTAGTTAGCTACTATCTCTTTCTTCTCACACTTTGATGGTTCCTTTGCTGTTGTCCTCTTACTTATTCCTTGATTTCTTTCTGGCTTCAGGCTCCTTTCTTCATGTCCATCTCTCTGCCCACCTCCAGTATCCCCCCACCTCTGTGTCTGTACATAGACTTTTCTTCTTGGTGCAAGTAGCCACTTTTTTTTTTTTTTAAGATTTTATTTATTTATTTGACAGACAGAGATCACAAGTAGGCAGAGAGGCAGGGAGAGGGAGAAGCAGGCTCCCCGCTGAGTGGAGAGCCCGGTGTGGGTCTCAATCCCAGGACCTTGAGATCATGACCTGAGCCGAAGACAGAGGCCTTAACCCACTGAGCCACCCAGGTGCCCCGCAAGTAGCTACTTTTATCATTAACCCATGTGATTCCTGTTCAAGAGTCTGCAATAGCTGCTCACTAGTTGACATTATGGTCACTTTCTACTCTGTACTTCATAGTTGGGCCTCTGGTACTCAGATAATCTTGGCCTGTAGCTCCTCTGAAAACACGTGATTGGCAGGTTAGTCTCCCAGCTCTTCTCTCCACCATTCTGCAGTTCCTCAGATTCCATTCTGCAGTTCTTTACATTCATGCCCACGCACGTACCCACCCACACACAAGAATAGTGATTCTTACTTAGAATCACATGATGTCAGGCCTAGAAGTGATCGAAGTGATCTTGAAAATCAAATAACCCATTAATTTATTAATGAAAGTGAAAACTGAGGTCCTTTAAAAAGCCCTTTTGTAAGTCCCTCCTCAAATATTTTGCTTACACTGATTTTTACCTCTGTCTAAACTTACTTAATTTTTTTTTAAAGATTTTTATTTATTTATTTGACAGAGAGAGAGAGAGCTCACAAGTAGGCAGAGAGGTAGGCAGAGAGAGAGGGGGAAGCAGGCTCCCCACTGAGCAGAGAGCCCGAAGCAGGGCTCAATCCCAGGACCCTGAGACCATGACCCAAGCCGAAGGCAGAGGCTCAACCTACTGAGCCACCCAGGCATCCCATAAACTTACTTAATTTTTATGAGTAGTCAGTACCACTCTGTTCATCATATGGTCTTCCATTGTTTATTGTATTTATTTTAATTCTCTTTTACTTCTTTCATCAAAATTACCTTTTAGGATTAAGGCAAAAATCATCTCCAGAATTCTGTAGGGCATGGGGTCCTTATCTTATGGTATAACCAGTTCCATTAAAAAAAATTCCTATTAAAAAACTCACGTGGGACGCCTGGGTGGCTCAGATGGTTGGGCCTCTGCCTTCGGCTCAGGTCATGATCTCAGGGTCCTGGGATCAAGTCCCACGTCGGGCTCTCTGCTCAGTGGGGAGCCTGCTTCCTCCTCTCTCTCTGCCTGCTGCTCTGCCTACTTGTGATCTCTCTCTGTCCATGAATACATAAAAATCTTTAAAAAAAAAACAAAACACCTCACGTACTGCTTTGAGAATATTTTTTCTTCTTCCATTGTTTTTATAAGATAAACCCCTCCTCTCCTTAAAGGATCGTATGAATTTTATCAGCTATAAACAGGATTCTGTTTCTGAGTTTTGTCATGAAAAATCTATGTGTATATTAGCATTTTTCTTAGTATATATGTAATACAAATTACTTTTTCCCCTAGAGGCAATGCCACTTGCTTCGCATATGGACAGACAGGTGCTGGGAAGACCTATACCATGATAGGAACTCATCAGAACCCAGGACTCTATGCTCTGGCTGCCAAAGACATCTTCAGGCAACTAGAAGTGTCCCAGCCGAGAAGGCCCCTCTTCGTGTGGATCAGCTTCTATGAAATCTACTGTGGACAACTTTATGACCTCTTAAATAGAAGGAAGAGGTACTGATTATGAGTAGGAAACTATATATTTGTGGATCATTGTTTTAGGCCAGAGTCCCACAGAATCACTGACTCATGGGATTTGATGCGAGGCCTTGTTATATTAGTGCCTTTTTGTGAAATTAGTCTCCTGAATCCAATAAATATTTTTTAAACTGCCAGCTCACCTAGAAAGAAAAACGTAAATTAGCCTTCCATTAGTATTTTTTTAAAGTGATCAATAGCCTAATGTTTATCACAAGACTATCCCTTTTATTTTGGTCTATGAAAAAGGTCATGATTTCAGGAAGTCAGGATATCAACATGTACTTAAATTCCTTCCTGTTCTTTTGACCTATTATTACACTGGAAGAACTATAAATAATGTTTCCTGCTTTCTTATTTTTTTTTTCTTTCAATAATCTTAGGGTAAGCTTAATGATAGTTTTCTGAAGTCAGTAAAAAGAAAGTCTCTCTTCTTCACATTAGACTTTTAGCTCTTTTAAGTCTTAAGCTGTTGCCCTTACAAATAACACAGTAATTTAGAAATGGATTCATCAACTGACTTTAAATCCCTATTGTATTTTTCTGGCGTAAAGTTTGTTTAGGTTGAAACATGGCTTCAATTGAGCAAGAAGCAGTGAAGTCGTGAAGGTAGCAACTGACTGGGAGAAGGAGAGATGGAATAGAGGAGGTGGAAGGATAAAAGGGTATCATAATAGAATTAACCAGATCTGTGACATGTTGGGAGCAGCCACACCAAGTGGAGAGAGTTAAGGCTAAGCACAGTGGAAGGCTGGGGAAGCCAAATCAGTTACAGAAGCTAGCCTCCAGCAAAGGTATCCTAGCCCCTACAGAGCTGTTCAAAAGGATGTGCAAATTCAACGTGCTTCAGGCAAGCATTGGAATGGGGGGTGGGGATAGATAGGCAGCAGAGTTCAGTAGGGACAGCATGTTAGGGCAGGGCCCCATGGTAGAGGGGAAACTGGAGTTGGGAAACTGGAGAAGCCAGCAACTAGGCCTGGGCAGACTACCATCTGTGGACTATTTCAAAGAAAAGGGGACCTTTGGGTATGCCACAGTTCAGAGAATGTACAAGTGTTCAGGGTTCAGTCCTGACATGGCAACTACCAAATAAGGAAGGGTTCTGCTCTGGGTTTGCTTTGGAGAAGAGTTGCTTTCCTTTTCTACCCTCTCTGTTGGTTTTGAAGCCTCAGGTTAGCTCAATCACAGCGGCTCTTCCAAGCCCCAGCACTCTTACTTAGGAGCCCTTTCCAGTCAAAAATGTAGCCTGGCACTGGGATGCTAGAGCATCTGGCTCTGGGGCTCCCAAACAGACCAGTTTCAACCATCAGCCACTGACGACATCCAAAGGCAGAAAACTGAGTGGTGGTGAAACAAAGGAATTTATTTCAGTGAGGCCAACACCAAGAAGACAGCCGAATACTAACATTTCAGAGACTGCCTCCAACATGCCAAAAATACTACTCCTAGGGTTTTGTTGTTGTTGTCGTTGTTGTTGTTTTTGGTTTTCTTAAAGATTTTATTTATTTGAGAGAGAAAGAGCACAAATGAGGGGAGGGGCAGAGGGAGAGGGAAAAGCAGATTCTCCGCTGAGCTGGGAGCCTGACGCAGTGCCTGGCTCCATCCCAGGACCCTGAGATTATGAACTGAGCCAAAGGCAGCTGCTTAATCCAACCGACTGAGCGCCCCCAGTCCGCACCCCCCCCACCTTTTTTTAACTTCTAGGTTTATATAAGGAAAATACAGGACAAAAGTTGGTGGGTATAAGCAGCTAGGTTGTGAAGGTCAAGTTGATCATTGTCTTGGGGTCAATCATGGGTGGGGTCTTGGTGGCTCAGGGCACTTCCTAATTGGTTGAGGGGATAGTGGGGGTAATTTGGGTTCCCTTATAGGGATGCTGTGCCTGTAGGGTCTTTTAGTGAAGAGATAAGCTGGAAAGAACTTAATCAATTAGGAAGTTTGAGGTCAAAATGGAGGTAATCCAAATCCTCTTTGTTTAAAGAACGGTTGGCAGGAGAATAAAAGCTGTTGTGCTGTGTGTGTGTGTGTGTGTGTGTGTGTGTGTCTGTGTGTCTGTCTGTCTATCCGTCTGTGTGTTAGTTTGGGTGAAGGGATAGTCAGGATATCTAGTCAGCTATTTCTGAGTGCAGTTCTTTAATGAATTACTCAGATATACTGCCCTGTATATTTGCATTCTTTAATTGTAGCCAAGGGGATGGGATGTGCTAATTCCTGGCTTTGAAGCTTCTTTTTAGGGCTCACTAGGGAAGACCCACACTTACTCTGTAAGTGTCTTGAGCTGTGGGTTTTTCTTTTTGTTTTTATATCTCTGGTTAATTGGCTAATATCTCTTTTACCTGTCTTACTGGTACTTCTGAAATCTGTTTCACTGATGGCACCCTTTCTTTTTATTTAGAGTTGTTATGCTTTATCCTCTTTATCTTTTATTTTTTAATAAATTATATTTCCTAAAAGTAATAGCAAGATTTGGCAAAGGTGAACAGAAACATATATGCTCAGTGCACCTCTTTTTAAAAAATTATTATTATTATTATTTGACAGAGAGAGTACAAGCAGGGGGAGTGGCAGGAGAGGGAGAAGCAGGCTTCCACTGAGTAGAGAGCCCAACGTGGGGCTTGATCCCAGGACTCTGGGGTCATGACCTTAGCCAAAGGCAGATGCTTAACCAGCTGAGTCACCCAGGTGTTCCCTCAGACCATCCCTTAAGCTAGAAACCAAAGCTTATGATCTTCAAATTAACTTTTTTTTTTTTTTTAAGATCTAATTGGTTTTACTAAACAATTCATGAATCGGGCATCATTCCATCTAGCAAGTACAGGGGATGTCCAAGGAATTATCTCATTTCCCTTTAGAGGAGATAGAGAGGGCCCATGTGACAGATTACCTCACTCGTGCTTATCAGAAAATTTCTGACTGATGGGTTTAAGACACATTTCTGGGGGAGGTTGAAACTGCAATTATGTAAGGTATGAAGTCCCAAATTAACTCATAAAAGTAGAGGTTAAATTGTTTTTATACCCCTGCATAAAAAGTGATAGAAATATATTTCTTACTTATAAGATTTAAAAATCTAAGGGCATCTGGGTGGCTCAGTGGTTAAAGCCTCTGCCTTCGTCTCAGGTCATGATCTCAGGGTCCTGGGATCGAGGCCTGCATCGGGCTCTCTGCTCAGCAGGGAGCCTGCTTCCCCCTCTCTCTCTGCCTGTCTCTCTGCCTGCTTGTGATCTCTCTCTCTCTGTCAAATAAATAAATAAAATCTTAAAAAAAAAAAAACACCATGCAGGATTTAAAAAAAAAAAATCTAACAGTACATTTTGGGCTGTCCATTAGGAACTTTTCTGGGGTGAGCTCATGGTGTAGGGCCTAAAAAGTATGTTCAGGAATGACATGAGGGGTCTGAAAGCTAGAGCCTTCTTTTATTCCAGAAGCCTGACTGTTCCAATAGTTGTTTTCTGATAGGTCACAGGGATTGGTGAAGCTGTTTTCCTCCAGTCCTGTAAAAATTTGGAAGCCTGGTGTGAAACCTAAACTAAGAAAAAAAAGGTACCTGAGTAGTTCAGTTGGTTAGTCCGACTCTTGCTTTCTGCTCAGGTCATGATCTCAGGTCGTGGGAATGACCCCCGTGTCAGACTCCCCCACTCAGCGGGGAGTTTGCTTGTCCCTCTCTCTCTTCTCTTCCCCCACATCCCTCTCTCTCTCAAATAAATGAATGAATCTTTAAAATTTAAAAAAATTTTTTTTTTATTTTTCATTAAAAAAAAGAAAAATAATTTTCTTTTTTAGCTATAAAGTGGAATTCCATTCTTAACCTCAATCACTATTTTATTAAGGGAAAAAATAATCTTAGAGTCTTTAATAGATTTAATATGTGCCCCTTGATATATCTGATTTAGTGATGATGATAGACTATAACATTACATATAGGCCTGAGAAATTCAATTACAGCACCAGATCTCCCTTTCTCACCTTGGAAGATGTATCAAGACTCCTTAAGTTGGAAATAAAGTAGAATCCCATATATACTGGCTTAAGCTATTTAGGGAAGTCTTTTGCTCAAATAACTAGAATGCCTAGAGGAGAATTAGACCATAGGACCTGTTTATTCTAGGAACTCAGGAATGTTATAAGAACCCAATTTCTTTGCTCAGCTCTGTCTTCTATGATATTAGCTTCCAAAACTGGCTCTCTGGTGGATATAGAATGGCTAGCACTGCTCCCAGGACTACACATCTCTCACTTCCAGAAAGAAAGAGCAGCAGCATCTCACTCCCAGGCACCTAACAACCAGAAACTAGGACTTTATTTTGATTGGACCAGCAGAGATCCCATATCCAGTCCTGAGCCAATCACTGAAGCCATGAATATACCCTCCACTGATAGGTCTGAATCCTATGTTCATTCTTTTCATTGTAGTTAAAGATCCTGACTTGTTTACAGCAGTTAAAGACCATCTCTGAAGCCCAGGGCTGGGATCAAGGAGGTGTGGGAGTGGGCGGCAGGATACATACCAATCTCCCTCAAATAACAGAACTGCTCCCTAATTGTTGAATAATGGAATGTTTTCTGGGGAGGCAAGAACAAAGTTCATCATAGCAGGTCTGCCATACCAACCATGTTCTTGTATCTGCAGGCTCTTTGCAAGAGAAGATAGCAAGCACGTGATACAGATAGTGGGACTGCAAGAGCTTCAGGTGGATAGTGTGGAGCTCCTCTTAGAGGTAACTCTTCTTTCCTTACTACCTACCCCAGACACACACACAGTAGCCTAATTACAGGGAAAGAATTCGTTTTGCTATTTAGCAAATATAATAGACTCAGATTTAGCCAAACGGCCATGACGAGCATGCCACTTCAACATTTGTAGAATGTGAGTCCTCTAAGAGGATAGCTCCCTTCTCTACAGGGCTGTGGTCTCAGTGCTGTGGAGCATGGGGAGAACCTAATGCACGACCAGGGTACTTTCGTGCTAGTTTCACAGGCTGCTAATGTATAGATTTCTATGGTAGTAGGAAAAGCTGCTGGAGACAAATAGCTTTACTTTAAGTAAAAATTGGTAACAGGTAAGGGGGGGTTCCTGACTGGCTCAGTCAGTAGAGAATGTGGCTTTTGATCTCAGGGTTGTGAGTTTAAGCCCATTTTAGGTGCAGAGATTACTTAAAAAAAAAAATTTTTTTAATAGGTAATACTTTCACCTGGGTTCAAAAATTCAAGAGATACAGGGGTGCCTGGGTAGCTCATTCCATTGAGCATCTGACTCAACCACTCAGGTCATGATCTCAGGAGTACGAGATCAAGCCCCGGGCTGGGCTCCATGCTCACCATGGAATCTTCCTGTTCCTCCCCCTGCTGGTTCTCATTCTCTAAAACAAACAAACAAACAAACAAATAAATAAAAATTTTTGGGAAAAAAAATTCAAGAGTTACAACGAAAATATTCCTTCCATTCTCTTTTCAAACTGAAGCGACTAATTTTAAGATTTTTTTTTTTTATATCCTTCCAAAGGTTTTTTTTCAAAGGTATTTTAAATCTTCCTTTAAAAGTTATCTTTTGGGTGTGCCTGGGTGGCTCAGTGGGTTAAGCCGCTGCCTTCGGCTCAGGTCATGATCTCGGGGTCCTGGGATCGAGTCCCGCATCAGGCTCTCTGCTCAGCGGGGAGCCTGCTTCCCCCTCTCTCTCTCTATCTCTCTGCCTGCCTCTCTGTCTACTTGTGATCTCTCTCTGTCAAATCAATAAATAAAATCTTTAAAAAAAAGAAAGTTATCTTTTGGGGTGCCTCGGTGTCTCAGTCAGTTAAGCGTCTGCCTTCAGCTCAGGTCATGATGCTGGAGTCCTAGAATCAGTCCCACATAGGCTTCTTGCTCAGCATGGAGTCTCCTTCTCACTCTCCCACTCCTTCTGTGCTCTCTCTCTCAAGTGAATAAATAAAAATCTTAAATAAATGTTATCTTTTAACACTTGTTCATTATTAGATATAAACCTTACAAAAATACTAAGAAGATAGAAAAATAAAGGCCACCTCCAACTTACTATATACAATTCCCCATTCCCCACTGAGATATCTACTGTTAACAGTTTAAAATATCAAAACAAAACAAAACACACAGTTTAAAACATTTAAATTTTTTTCTATACTGGGAATTTATTAATTTATGTACAAGTATATTTTTGGTGACTCTTCCTTTAATGCAGTGGTCCTCAGCCCTAGCTTTACATTGTGTCATTAGGGAGATTTTTCCTTTCAGGTAAAAAAATGGTTTAACCATTTTTATTGTGAAAAATAGCACTCTACAGTAAAATGCTTAAAGCCTAAATGTGTTTAGTATAAAGAAACAAACCTTTTTTTCTTAAGACTTTACTCATTTATTTGAGGGAGAGACAGAGATAGTGAGCCAGGAGAAGAAGGAGAAGCAGAGGAGTCTGAGGCAGAGCTCGATCTCAGGACCCTGGGATCATGACCTAAGCCAAAGACAGACGCTTAACTGACTGAGCCACCCAGGCACCCCAAGAAACAAGCACCTTTATAATCAATTACCCAGATTAAGAAATAGAACATTTTAGGGGTGCCTGGGTGGCTCAGTTGGTTAAGCGTTGGTTAAGCAGACTGTCATTTGGGTCATGATCCCGGGGTCCTGGGATGGAGTCCCCCATTGGACTCCCTACCCAGCAGGGAGTCTGCTTCTACCTCTTCTTCTGCCCCTTTCCCTGCTTGTTCTCTCTCTCTCTCTCTCAAATACATAAATAAAATCTTAAAAAAAAAAAAAAAGAAATAGAACATTTTAGCACCCCACAAACCCCTATACAAATTTCCAGTCACAGTCCCCTATAATCCTGATGTTTATGCTGATCACTTTTTTTTTTTTTTTTTTTTTTTTTTTTTTTTTTAAGATTTATTCATTTAGGTGCGCCTGGGTGGCTCAGTTGGTTAAGCGGCTGCCTTCAGCTCAGGTCATGATTCCAGGGTTCTAGGATCGAGCCCTACTTCAGGCTCCCTGCTCAGCAGAGAGCCCTCTCTCTCCCTCTGTATGTCGCTCTGCTTACTATCTCTCTGTCAAATTAAAAAAAAAAAAAGATTTATTCATTTATTTTTAGAGAGCTAAAGAAAGCACAATCGTGTACAGGACGAGCGGCAGAAAGAGAGAGAAAATCCCAAGTGGCTCCCCACTGAGGGCAGAACCTGACTCAGGGCTCTACCCCACGACCCTGAGATCTTGACCTGAGCTGAAACCAAGAGTCGGCTGCTTAACCAACGGAGTTACCCAGGCCCCTTACGCTAATCACTTTCTTGTTCTTTGTTATATTTCGCCACTTATATATTCATCCATTAACTATGTAACTTCCTTTTTGCCTGTTTTTAAACTTCATATGAATAGAATCACACTGAATGTTTTAGTGTCTTCTTTTACTCAACATTATGCTTTTGATTTCCAGCTGTGTTTTTGCATATGGATGTAATTTTGTTTTTATTTGCTGTATAGTATTCAGTCATATGAGTATACCACAGTCTTAACCATTCTGTTAATGGATAGTTGGGATTCTTTTGGGGCACTATTCTGCATATTGTAACTGTGAATATCCTTACACTTGTATTCCAGTGTATAGCATATGAGTTCTCTAGGATATACATCTAGTTGTGAAGTGATTGGCTCAGAGGACATGTATATCTTCACTTCACTAGATGATGCAACTGCTTTCCAAAGTTATGTACACTCCCACAAACAGTGTGTGAGTAATCCCGTTGTTCTTCAACCTTGCCAACACTTCCTGTTAACTTTTAAATTTTTGCCAGTCTGGAATTGGTTAATTATATCCTATTGTGGTTTTAATCTGCATTTTGCTGATTGAGAATTAAACTGAATAGCTTTTCATATATTTTTTAAAGATTTTATTTATTTGACAGAGATCACAAGTAGGCAGAGAGGCAGGCAGAGATAGAGGGGGAAGCAGGCTCCCCACTGAGCAGAGAGCCCGATGCAGGGCTTGATTGCAGGACCCTGAGACCACCACCTGAGCTGAAGGCACATGCTTAACCCACCAAGCCACCCAGGTGCTCCGCTTTTCATATTTTTTTTAATTTTAAGATTTGATTTTTCAGTAATCGCTATATCCAATATGGGGCTCAAACTCACAACCCTGAGATCAAGAGTCGTACACTCTACTGACTAAGCCAGCCAGGCACCCCACTTTTTATATTTTTAATTTATCTTATGGGTTTCATCTCTTGGGAATGCCAGTTAGGGTCTTTCCCTCCTTTTTGGGTTGTCTTTATCTTACTGATTTGTATATTCTGGATGTGAGTCATTTGTTAGGTGTTTGTGTTGTTTTTTTTTTTAAGATACTATTATTTATTTGACAGAGAGAGAGAGACCACAAGAGAGGGAACACAAGCAGGGGGAGTGGGAGAGGGAGAAGCAGGCTTCCTGTCGAGCAGGGTGCCTGGTGCTGGGCTTGATCCCAGAATTCTGGGATCATGACCTGAGCCAAGGGCAGATGCTTAATGACCGAGCCGCCCAGGCACCCCTCATTTATCAGTTATTTGTGTCATAAGTATGTTGTCTCATTTTGTGGCTTGTGTTTCTCATTTCATCATGGTGTATTTTTAATGCTTGCTTGAGTCCCTCTGAGGTAGTTAAATCAGAATCTCTTGGGATTAGGCCCAAATGTAAATATTATTTTAAACTGAAATATAGGTCACATACCATAAAATTCACCATTTTAAAGTGTATGTGTCAGTTTTTTAATATATATTTGTGTGTGTGTATATATATATATTTTTTATTATGTTTTTGGAGAGAGAAAGAATATGCGAGCATGCATGAGGGTTGGCCAAAATCAAGAGTTGGATGCTTAACCGACTGATTCAGTCAGGCACCCTACATATCTTATTAAGTTTTAATCTAAATATCATAATAATCACCCTCTTAAAATATACAATTTAGTGATATTTACAGAATATTCAAAAAGTTGTGCAGCCATCATCACTAATTCCAGAACATTTTCATCACCTCAAAGTGAAACCCTGTACCATTTGGCAGTTACTCTCTATTTCCTCTGCCTCCAGGCCTGGAAACCACTAATTTCTGTCTTGATGGATTTGTCTATTTTGGCCATATTATTATATAAGTGGAATCATACAATAGGCAACCTTTTGTTTCTTGTTTCTTTCATTTAGCATATTTTCAAAGTTCATCCATGTTGTAGCATATATAAGTACTTCATTTTTATGGCCAAGTAATATTCTATTATGGATATATTATTAATATTTTGTTCATCCATTCATCAGTTGATAGACACATAGGTTGTTTTCACTTTTATAGAAACCAGTATTATGAATGATACTCCTATGAACATTCACATATAAGTTTTTGTGTAGACCTATGTCTTCCATTTTCTTGAGTCTATGCCTGGGAGTAGAATTACTGGGTCATACTTTTTGAGGAACTGCCAAACTGTTTTCCAAAGTGGCTGCACCATTTTATAGTCCCACCCACAATGCATGAAGGTAGATGTTATTTTTTTTTTTTTAAGAATTTATTTATTCATTTGACAGAGAGAGATCACAAGTAAGCAGAGAGGCAGGCAGAGAGAGAGAGAGGAGGAAGCAGGCGCCCTGCCGAGCAGGGAGCCCGATGCGGGACTTGATCCCTCGACCCTGGGATCACGACCCGAGCCAAAGGCAGTGGCCCAACCCACTGAGCCACCCAGGCACCCTAGATGTTA